TAGATCTTATAACTAGACCGCATAAAAGGACTACATATAGATCTTATAACTAGACCACATAAAAGGACTACATATAGATCTTATAACTAGACCACATAAAAGGACTACATATAGATCTTATAACTAGACCACATAAAATGAATGCATATAGATGTTGTAACTAGACCACATAAAAGGACTACATATAGATCTTATAACTAGGCCACATAAAAGGACTACATATAGATGTTGTAACTAGACCACATAAAAGGACTACATACAGATCTTATAACTAGACCACATAAAATGAATGCATATAGATGTTGTAACTAGACCACATAAAAGGACTACATACAGATCTTATAACTAGACCACATAAAATGACTACATATAGATCTTATAACTAGACCACATAAAAGGACTACATATAGATCTTATAACTAGACCACATAAAAGGACTACATATAGATGTTGTAACTAGACCACATAAAAGGACTACATACAGATCTTATAACTAGACCACATAAAATGAATGCATATAGATGTTCTAACTAGACCACATAAATGGACTACATAGAGATCTTATAACTAGACCACATAAAATGAATGCATATAGATGTTGTAACTAGACCACATAAAAGGACTACATATAGATCTTATAACTAGACCGCATAAAAGGACTACATATAGATCTTATAACTAGACCACATAAAAGGACTACATATAGATCTTATAACTAGACCACATAAAAGGACTACATATAGATCTTATAACTAGACCACATAAAATGAATGCATATAGATGTTGTAACTAGACCACATAAAAGGACTACATATAGATCTTATAACTAGGCCACATAAAAGGACTACATATAGATGTTGTAACTAGACCACATAAAAGGACTACATACAGATCTTATAACTAGACCACATAAAATGAATGCATATAGATGTTGTAACTAGACCACATAAAAGGACTACATACAGATCTTATAACTAGACCACATAAAATGACTACATATAGATCTTATAACTAGACCACATAAAAGGACTACATATAGATCTTATAACTAGACCACATAAAATGAATGCATATAGATGTTGTAACTAGACCACATAAAAGGACTACATATAGATCTTATAACTAGACCACATAAAAGGACTACATATAGATGTTGTAACTAGACCACATAAAAGGACTACATACAGATCTTATAACTAGACCACATAAAATGAATGCATATATATGTTGTAACTAGACCACATAAAAGGACTACATATAGATCTTATAACTAGACCACATAAAAGGACTACATATAGATGTTGTAACTAGACCACATAAAAGGACTACATACAGATCTTATAACTAGACCACATAAAATGAATGCATATAGATGTTGTAACTAGACCACATAAATGGACTACATATAGATCTTATAACTAGACCACATAAAATGAATGTATATAGATGTTGTAACTAGACCACATAAAAGGACTACATACAGATCTTATAACTAGACCACATAAAATGAATGCATATAGATGTTGTAACTAGACCACATAAAAGGACTACATATAGATCTTATAACTAGACCACATAAAAGGACTACATATAGATGTTGTAACTAGACCACATAAAAGGACTACATACAGATCTTATAACTAGACCACATAAAATGATGTTGTAACTAGACCAGAAACACAGAACACATATGCACCTTACACTTAGATCACTTATATGGACAACATGTAGACCTAGATACTACATTTAGAAGGTTAAACTAAACAATTCAGTATCTGTGTGAATCTGCTCACAACCAAAACTTTATCAGAATAAAATGGAGCGACTACTGGAAAATAGTAAAATAACTCACCGTCAGTAAGTAATAAATCTATCCTCGTTGGGACTTATTTACCGATGTTCTATGTGAAAGTGTTGAATTTGATACTCTAGTCAACAGTTGGTGTAGGGTGGATGAAGTTGTATTTTAACTTTCGTTTAACCCATAATCTCTAAGCTAACACAAACCTTCAATACATCAACCGCTTTAAGCATACAGTGTGTGTAACGACAAGCAGATTTCCATTCAACTGTACCATATGTTACATCACGTCTATAGATCGTATTTCCCCGGGAAAATTTTGTATAGATGTTTTTCACCCGATCATTGCATGCTCTACTTCTCGCCAACATATTACCAACAGTGTTGTAAGTTCGTGCTAAAGACTGGTTTCTCAGTTTTTTGCCGGCGCTAACTTTAAGTTTCACGCAAAAAGAGAGGGAGGGAGAGAGAAAACTCAAGGTTAGTGTAAAAAAACCTCCGTCAAAATCAGATCATGTGAAGCTTTTAAAGTAGGTCACCGTCAATACACAGTGATGCAGCAAAAATGGGGAATTTTATTTTGTTGGTTTAAGTTGAATGTTAACTCTTAAAATGCAACTTGTTTTTAAATTTTAACTAAGCAATCAATGTGAAAGGTTGCTTTTTAAGATTATTTATTGATATGCATTTTAATGTATGTGATTAAACTTATAAAAATAAAACGTTGTTATTTTAGGTTGGTTATTAAATATCTGCTTTAACTGAATCGTGTTTCAGATTTTGACCGGTAAAACCAGCCAAATGTTGCCTGCTTACACACTTATTTGCAGAAATGAGAAATGACTGTTTTGAATTTTAAACACGTAAACACCCATTTAGTATATTTATAAACCACCATAACCGCAAACCCATGGGGTTATTTTATTTAAGCCGACGCTCATTAAAATAACAGTCAGGACCGGCGTTCGTTTATTACAATTAGCTGGAAAATAACCTAGCTGTTGATCCCGCTTAAAATTTTTTTTTAAAGTATCACGACTGACTTCTACTTCTGCTAGTTAAGTGATACCACCTATTTACTCAACAAAGGCTTTAGTCATCTTCTCCCTTAAATGGCAACCAAGTTTCACATTCTGTCTTCAACTTTTGGTCAAGAGTTGATAGTTTAATTTCCACCGTGGACATTACAGGATTTAATTTACATGTTTACCACAAATTAAAATAATCATTTTAATAGCTAACTTGGTAAAAAATATAATTTAAATAATTATAAACAAAACAACGACAATCAGCTTACCAAATTTATTTAAAAAACAAAAAAGTGTGGAACCATTCAATTAAAAAAAAAAACCTTATTTCAAATTCAATACAACTACTAGATCTTCAACAAAACAAACAAAACCAGACCCACAAAATGAAACATAACAAGCACACAGTCAAGTTACTAAAGTAACATCATACACACTTGGTGGGTCCACCTCAAAGCCGATCCTCGAGATTTACATTCTCAACTGGTTGTAGGGTAAAAAAACAGAACGACCCTAGCGGTCACTCGGTCTTATAAAGCCACCTCGACCGAAATCCAGTAGTCAATGTCAACTACAACATTTACACACAACCTGGCACACAAAATTTAATCATTATCATTAAAAAAAGTTTAAAAAAAACCACGTTTTCTGATTGAACTAAAAAGTAGAAAATAAATGCTATACATCACAATAATGCAAGCGATCACTCTACTATAAGCGATGAAAAACGTGGGGCGCCGAAGTAAAAGTTTTATATCGGTCATTGTTAATATAAGATGTAAAAGTTATATTACTATTGATTAGATAATACTATTGACTTTTATTAGGGAGCTTGTAGAGAGTCAACAGTATTAGAAACTGTAAGAAAATCACGGCGCCCCACGTTTTTCATCGCTTATAGTAGAGTGATCGCTTGCACTATTGTGATGTATAGCATTTATTTTCTACTTTGTAGTGCAATCAGAAAACGTGGGTTTTTAAAAACTTTTTTAATGATAATTATTTTCTACTTTTTAGGGTTTGTCTGTTTGTTTGCATTAAAATCTTGCTATCGATTTTATCTTTTCGCATTCACTTTTTTTTGGGTAAACGAAAACAACTCGTAAAAAACACGTGCCTTGAACCCGTGTCGAGTGGGTTAGCAATCGTGTGCCCAACCACTCGACCATATCGTCTCCCCCATACTGGCCACCAGTTGTTAGGTTCCGGTTGTTTGTACACAAACACTGCGTGACCACTACTCAGTAAGCCAAAAGAGGGAGAGTACCGAACCTTGTTTGCATAAAATTACAATTACAGTTATGTCCCTTTTTCCCCACGTTTTTTGTACTAATATATAGCGGTCTAAAATGGTCAATAAAATGTTTCCATGGATCAATTTAGTAATACTAACTATTGAATATTCTATTGTCATCGGAAACAAAGCATCCCTGAAAATTTCAGCGCGCTAGCTAACTAGGAAGTGCCCAAAATTTCGATCGCACGATTTGATTGGAGAACCAAACAAACAAACAAACAAACAAACAAACAAACAAACAAACAGACGCGAAAGCAAGTTAAAGAAAACGTGGGGAAAAATGAATATACACATATATCATTCACCCTGTCACATTTGTGTAGGGTATATTTTGGCTCTACTGTATTTAATAACACGCTATTTTTTTGCTTAGAAAATTGTAATAAACTATGATTACTCCTTGTAACTTATTTAACCCTGTTGAGTACCATGTGTGTTTTAAATTAGTTTATAGTTTATAGTTATAAGAATTGAATTTTAGAATTTTAGAATTTAGAATTAGTGTTTGTAGTAGGGATTATTATTTTACTCGAGACGTTAGCTATTTATCGTTAGTAGTAGTTAGTATTAGTGTTTAGACTTTCTTCTAATCACATGTATCTATTTATGTATACACTAGCCGTCGGGCATCATTAAACGTGAGTTATAGGCCTATATATTTTAAATGTTATACATGGGCCACCAATACTTAATGGAAAAATTAAAACCAAATTATATTCATTATTATTCAACAGAACACCAAATTAAATGCACACACTGATTAATATATATATATATATATATATATATATATATATATATATATATATATATATAATGAGAGAGAGAGAAACATAAACATTCATACAGCTATTTACTATGTCTTTAATATTTGTAGTCAACGGGAGAGAGTTGTGATTGCAGACTTACAACTCTCTGACCAACAGCTCCCCACTATAATTACCCAGAGAGTTTGTTCCACTGTGTGTGTGTGACCACCAGTACAGCCCGCCATGAGCCAGCATGTAAACAGTCGCCCCACTGCACCCTGAGCACGTGCATGTGCTGTAGGTGTACTTGCTGGTCAAACCTGACCTCTCGTGTCTGTGGAACCACTGCCCAATGCTGACCATCTTCGGACACCCGTGGGGATGTGACGAAATAACAACCAGCCTGTTATTCATGTTCCCGTATTTGATTTTGACTTCATAACGCAAATCTCTAAATTTCTCTCCTAATTTACCCAGATGGTCAAGTAACGCCAAGTCACATGTGACGTAAGCTAACTTACACCTGTCTTTTTTCGACATCTGCCCTTTCCACTTTCATAACGTTGAGTGGAATTCCAGGATTTTTGTTGTCATCAAATCCTAAAATGCAACTGGTCTGTCTCGCCTCACTGTCATCAAACACCACGTGCGTTGCCGTTAAAATACAAACCTCCCCCCACACTTTGCTGGGTGTGTCCGAGTGTTGACACTTGCCACATGGACAAGTGCCCCATATGTCATTTCTTGTATACTTGTACACCTCACACACCCTCCCCGTCCCTGTCCTCAACACGTCACTTCCTCTGGTGTTATAAAATGGATACTGACCACTGAAGCATGGAACAGACTTTGGTCTCTCTAGACTGGTGTACTTGACCTTTATCAGGACCGTTAGGGCAGACAAAGTTTTGATCAGCTCCAACATGATGACGTCACGGTAACGTGAGGGGAGATGATCCAAGTTAAAATCATTGACAGGTATAAAGTTGACATGACCTGGATTCTTCTTACAGTCTGCGCAATGCTTATGTAAGTCAGCTTCACCTCCATAGCAGATTTCGGCCTCATGGTTTCCTATAGTGAATATATCATGGCTAAGTTATGTTTACCTATCTGTATTTCTGGGAGAGGGAAATAAAAGAATTCCTGTATACTGTAAAGCCCATCAGAGTTGCATGCAATGGAAAACATAATTGATGTTTAAGAATTACTTTTTGTCGCTATCGTCCGTAAAGCTTGAGAAAATTTAACACATGGTTGGATTGGGTACACATTAACGTGAATGAATTTCATAATGCATTTTTTGTACTAATAGAAACAGAACAGCGAAATAGATCTATATACCACAATTAATTTGTTTTTTTACTTAGTAGAGAAGTGTTATGTTAAGAACAATTGGGTCCGAAGATCGACTGTCAGAGATGGGAATGTGGGTAGAGTAGTTTATCTGGCGTTATGCATTTAAAGTAATGATACTTGGTTAAGTTCGTCTGTCAGACGTTTTTTCTTCAGGGAAGTGGGGCAATTAAAACTTTCGGGGGTGAAGGGGATGGACTAAATTTTCCGGGAGGGGGGGGGGGGAGGGGGTGGGCGGACAGTAGTAAAAGTACATATTTTCTGTATAAATTCTATTTCGTTTGGGGAGTTGGAGCGATGGACGAGCTTCGAGGATGTACATCCACCCCATAAATAAGCCTCAAAAGTTGCGCATATATCTAGCGGCCTCTCGCGCAACAAAATTTGATTTTATTTCTGAAGAATTTTGCCGAGGACAGCGTGTATTTGATTGTAGGAGAAAGAGAAGTCAAGTCTTCACATTGGTTTAAAAACAAAGGGGGGAAAGGAAAATACAAGAGCGTTGGATGGTGTCTATAGAATAAAGATAATCCAATTGCAGTTACAGTATTCTCTTTACAAAACAACCGTTAAGTAAAAAATGCACCAATATTTCATTTTTTAATTATAAAATAAATAATTATGGTCTGCTGTGCTGTCTGCTACCCCACACCTCCTCCCCGCATTGCGGTGTATGGCGGTACGGTCGTTCCACCCCTGGTTGGGGCGCTGGAAGAAGAGATGCTCGAAAGAAACACTGATTATGAATCAATGAACGTGGAGCATATATGATTCAGTGGTAACAAGAGCTAATGACCTGGGATAAACTCCTCCATTTTGAAATTATGCACCTGAAATTAAATTAAAAACAACTGAAACACTTTAATGTTATTGCTTTAAAATAAATAATTATACGAAGAGGCGTGTCAACTAAGAAATAAATAAAACGGGAGTGATCTTCCTCGCATGTTACATTTTTATTTTCTCGTATACGAACTGTAGAGGACGTATTGTGATCTTGTAAATTTGTAAGTTATAAAATGTATTAATCGACTATTGATTACCTTTCTAAAGTATTTTTAAAAAAAAACGAACACTATGAACACAAAATTTAAGGACTGTGAAATATATGTGGCGTAATATTGTTTTACAGGAATTATATTGACAAAATAAAACGTAATTTTTCTATTTTTACAGTTGGCAGAAAGTATAAAGCTTTTCTATAGTACAATTTAGATTACATTATGTTTTAAAACACACAACCTCACACACAAACACATATACAAACACATATATAATATTATATGTATCGTGAGAATATTATGTTCTGTTTACGTTTTTAGCACTAATATGTTTTTAAAAACTGTAACATTAACAAAGTAAAGTACATGATTTAATCTTTCATTTTCGTTGTTTTATTTTACTTTAAATGTTGTACTAGATGTACAGTGTGCTTTTAAAATGTTTAGAAATAAAAGTAAAACTTACACTCTTTCTCTTGTTGATGTTGTGTCCACACCAATTTGTTGTATTCGAGAAACAAATGACGTGGACCTTAAGACAAAAATAATGTTTTGTCACAATGTATTTTCAGATTATGTTTTCCCAAAAATGTATTTTTAACCTTCAACTCTATCAAGATAGCCTGAGCTTACCTTTAGCATTATTAAAAAAAAACCCATTGGCAACAAGGAAGTTATTTACTTACAGTAACAGATCCTTATCTAAAGTTTAACGAGTCGTTTAAAAACTAAGTTTACTTTCTAAAAATACTTTAACTTACAATAAATTAGTAGATGATCAAAAATAAGAATGATTTACATACAAATCCAGACTTGTACTTTAAGGGAAGGGTGAAGGTGTCTAAACTTTAATATCTTACAGGCAGTAGTACTTTGGGGAACAAGGTTTGACATACGGGATTATATCCAGATTATTAATAGGGGGAAGGCTCCGGTGAAAAAACAACTGTTTTAATACTCGTTAGAAAACAGTTATTTCTTTACAGCTTTATTAAGATACATCCGCATATGCATTTCCACTAAAAAAATTGGTGGAAAAATCTTGATAACTATGACAACGGCGGCCATCTTGAAAAATTAACCCTTGACCAAAAATATCTGCATGATAATGATTTAGATAGTATGGCCTAGCTATAGACTAAAGCATCGTGCATTAGCCTAGCTATAGACTTAGGAACCGTGCATTAGCCTAGCTATAGACTTAGGAACCAGGCATTAGCCTAACTATAGACTTAGGAACCGTGCATTAGCCTAGCTATAGACTTAGGAACCGTGCTTTAGCCTAGCTATAAACTTAGACACCATACATTAGCCTAGGTATAGACTTAGGCACCAGGCATTAGCCTAGCTATAGACTTAGACACCATGCATTAGCCTAGCTGGACAAAAAATATCAGCTTAAAGAATTTTCACTCAAATGGGAATTTTTTTAAAGTGAAAGTTTTATTTGATTACACGAAATAAAAGGAAAGTATATACTCAAAGGGGAATTTTTTAACTACTCCGTACGATGAGCACAGTAATGTAAATCAACCTAACTCTACAAGTATCAAAAACACTAGTAAGTCACCAACTTTAAGCTGTGCATTCTAAAAGAGATGGTGACCGCTAACCTTACTCTTAAATAGGGTGGCATTCGAGAAAAATACAGCATATTTATATGAATAACTAACTGAAATGGTTACGCTCTAGGACCTTGCATACATCTAACACACTACTACCACTGACACAGACACCACTCACTAATATTTAACAAGGAGCAGAGAAAGTTTCCATTGGTCAATTTATTTCTCAAAAACCTCCAACCCCACTTAACCCACCCCACTTAGCCATAACTCACCCCAACGTTCACCAATGCTAAGACTTCAAATTATTTCCTGTATCTCAGTTTCAACTTTACACCTTGCTTAATGTTTTTTTTTTCGAATACAAAAAGTAAATTTTTCTTTCAAAACTTTTAGTCTATGGGAAGGTGATGTAGAGTTTACCTATGTCCGTGGCCTCGGCATACGAAGGGTTAGTGTGGTCAGCACTATGTACAGCCGCCTTTACTTGCCCTGACGCGTGTCATTTTTCAAATTTAACTTACCCTTATTTAGTCTTATCATGCAAACGTCGACATATACGACGCAAGTAGAAATTATTGCTCAAATGTATTAACAACTTTTATATTTTTGCGTGTTTGGTGGTACATTTTTATTTAGAAAATGATGCACCGTCGGTTTTGTTAGAGTTGTGAAAGTGGAGGGAAAAAGAAAACACTATCACGAGTAATGCATATCTTCGTAATCAAATATTATTATTTTAACTGCAAAGAATATTTGAAACTTGTTGTAGTGCCATAGTTCTCTCTAATAAATTATTAGAATAGCAATTATTAACAATTAATACTTCGATATATCAAGTGTAAAACAGTGGTGTCCCATAAGTTGGACGCTAGCAAAGCATGAATGTGCCGCTTTTGGAACGATCGCAAATAACACAGACGTACATTTTACATTAATAAGTTATTTGTGATGAAACAGTTGTGCTTAGGGTATTAAAAATATAATGTTAAAGAATGACTTTGGCCTACACATTATGTATATAATATTATATACAAAATAGACATGAAAGATTTTTGTTTGAAAAAAGTATAGTTTTATATTTTAGGTGTCAGAATTGCAATACCGAAACTACTCAATACGTTTGTTTGAGCTAATTCACAGGTCACAGGACAAATGAGCTCAGACAAAATATCTCACAGACAAATGATCTGCTACAAACTTGAGTGCCAACATTAAGTCTCAGCTACAAACTTGACTGCCGATATTAGATCTCAGCTACAAACTTGACTGCCGACATTAAGTCTCAGCTACAAACTTGACTGCCGATATTAAGTCTCAGCTACAAACTTGACTGCCGACATTAAGTCTCAGCTACAAACTTGACTGCCGACATTAAGTCTCAGCTACAAACTTGACTGCCGACATTAAGTCTCAGCTACAAACTTGACTGCCGACATTAAGTCTCAGCTACAAACTTGACTGCCGACATTAAGTACAAACTTGACTGCCGACATTAAGTCTCAGCTACAAACTTGACTGCCGACATTAAGTCTCAGCTACAAACTTGACTGCCGACATTAAGTCTCAGCTACAAACTTGACTGCCGATATTAAGTCTCAGCTACAAACTTGACTGCCGACATTAAGTCTCAGCTACAAACTTGACTGCCGACATTAAGTCTCAGCTACAAACTTGACTGCCGATATTAAGTCTCAGCTACAAACTTGACTGCCGACATTAAGTCTCAGCTACAAACTTGACTGCCGACATTTCTCTTCACTACCATCGTGTTTGTTTATCATCAACACAAAACATTAAGATTATCAACGATAACAAAATGAATGAAAGAAACTTTGAAATTTTCTAAAACTTTATTGACATCAATATAAACAGTTTGTAAACAAATACAAACAGTTTGTAAACAAATACAAACATGAATTAAAGTATAAATAAAGGCAATGATGGCGATGACAAATCTAATGTGGAGGTTTAAACAAAACAAAGATACAAGTGTAGCCTATAAATATTTCATTTCTCAACAATAAACATTTGTTTATAATTTTGTTTATGTGTCTAACAACTCTAAACAAATGACGTGACAGAAACCAAATAATTTATTTCTTGTCTTCACCAGAATACAAAGTTGCTGATGAAGACATTCAAGTCTTGACACACACAAGTTTAACGAAGGGGCCGCCATTTTGTTTGTTTACATTAGACAAGGGGAGAGAGCCAACAGTTACATTAGACAAGGGGAGATAACTAATAGTTGAAACAGCATTTTACATTTTGTAGGCGGGGGAAGAAAACTAACCAATCATTCCCACTTGATCCTCTGTGGAGACGTTGATACCACCACCATCAATAAACACCAGGTGTTTCTCTAATATGTTCAAGTAGATACAGGCCAATATATGTTGAGTCTTGACCAAAAGACACAATACCCTGACCAGACACAGTCACTTGGATTACGTCACCACTTTCAAGATAAAATATTCCGCCTGGGGAAGAAAATATTTGTTTATTGATACGGGACGGCGTGACACATTGGTACGGTTTCGTCTTAAAGTTTTTAAGTACTATTTTCTTAGTGGAGCTAAACTTGTGTTAGTAATCTTTAATAATGAATATAGTATGTTAGTATAAAATGTTACTTTCTCAGTCATATAACGTCTATTAAGCGGAGACTAATTCAATAAAAAAATTAACAATACTTTGTTTTCTCCCGCATATTTTGAAATGTCTCAAACATCTACACTTTATTTTGTTTCAGCTTATTCTATTCTGGAGTTAGGTTAATTTCCCTTTATATTTATTCAACATTATCGTTGCTCTGATTTTAAAAGAATATTAAAACCATCTTTAAAGCCACCGATCAGATCAATCAAATGACAGGATAGAAAAATACCACAAAACCCCTTCGCTATGTGATTAACTTAATTAGTTCTTTTCTTCTTAAACAACTTTCCTTCCAACTAAACACTTTATAAGTGTGTCTAAGGTAACCTAGCAGTGACCCGCCTGTATAGCTAGTTTCCTGACTGTTGGTACAGTTGCTGCAACAGGTGTGAACGGTTCTCAGTAACACACCTGATTTAGCTGGACTGCTAGGCGAGACCAGGTGGACGTACTGAAACCATGTCTGTTGGTAGAGGTATGTCGTTAGGTTTTACTTCATGATTTGTTCATTGTGAAACATGCTTGTTTACTTTAGATTGATGACAGTAACACGGTTTAAAATCAAAATATCATGATTTTAAGTCGTGCTTTTTAAAAGTTTGTCTAATCGAAAAGAATATTATAAATTCCTTTTATTCACAATTCGTAGATGATCAAAATGGAAAACTCGTAATTTAAAAAAAAAGCTTATGAGCAAAATTAGCAAAAATATAATATGTATAGAATTTAGGATTTCAAAAGCGACTGTTCCTCTTTTAAATATAAGGTTTCTGACCGGCATTGTGATGAAGGGTCAAACACTTCTATTTATCTTTGTAAACAGAACCCATGTTTGATCGAAATTCACGCGACTGGGCCTTAGAGAAGGGAAATTAAAAAGGCAAAAGTATAGGCTTGGAACAGTAAAGCTTAAGCTTCTACACAAAAAATATCTGTTTGTTTTGTTAAATCATCAGAAATCCGGTATTTATGTAAGAAGGTATATTTTCCTTCTAAAAGTTTCACAACCACTACGAATAAACTAAGCTTATATCTCTTACCATAAATCTTATCATAAGGAAATTGTTAGTTTCAGCACTTAAAAATAAATCCGCGAAGTAATGCGACTTGTTAGAGAGACTAACCCAGAACAAAGACGCCTGAAAAGCTCTTGTCAGCGACCTATGTCCCAGTAAGGGCGACAGGCAAACCTAACGTAACCTAATGTACCTGGTAGACAAAGTCTGATGAGTAGCGGGTGGAGTTTGGTTGAAAGTTGACGTTGCTGTAGATGTAGTACAGACCTTTATCAGAAAATAAACATATTACATCATTAATTAAAGTTGCAGTTGTAATGCAAACATTTGTGTTTAAAATAATTTAAACCTTACATTTTCTCAAACCAGAATGTGAACCTTACTATGTAATTTATTAATTGCTTTTCTAGTCTAGCTACTAAACGTACTATATTTATCAAAATAATGAAATTGATAGGAGACTTAAAAACAGAGCTAGCCTTGACGTAAAATCTGTATCCTGTCATGCAGTAGACTGACACCCCTAGCGTACTGGCTCCTGCCCTCCTTGTTTTCCTGGTTTATTGTCAGAGTTGTGTGTGAGGTGGAGCTAAATATAGGGTCTGTGGTAATAAGAATGGACAATTGCAAATTATTGAGACATTATTATAATCTTACAAAATTAATTGATTAATTTATATTTGTAGCCGTTAAAAAAACCTTTACCGCCAGAAATTTAAGAAAATGCTATTTAAAAACATATTTTGTTTAATTGGAGTTGGACAATTTTAAAATACCTTACTCGTATGCGTCATGTAAAGTATTATCCTTTTTTAAAAAAAAAAGTTGCACCGTATGATTTTTATTAGCCCTATTAAAATGTTGCTGGGAAAAGATAATACCCTCACATATCCTCTAAATTTAATTAAAATTAAACAACTTGAAACTATTATGCATCTTATAGCAGTACTACATTTTTGTTTATAGTAAAAGCTTTAGAAAAACATTTGCATAGAGCTACTTTGTTACATGAAGTTTAAAAAAGTGTCCTATATGTGGGACGGTAGCCAATCATATACATTGTTGAACAACCATAGCAATTTTTGGACACTAGCAGAAAACTCACAAGCAACTGTTATTGTTATATCTTATTGTTATTTATAATAATTTAGGTGTTAAATACTTGAATCTGACTTATGAATTATTAACATAAACTTTCTGGAGATCACTATACAAACTTGTTTAAGTACGCAATGCTACTGACTATATATATATATATATATATATATATATATATATATATATATATATATATATATATATATATATATATATATATATATATATATATATATATATATATTTATATATATATATATACTAGGATAATAATTATAACTCAGTGGTATTCTTAAGCCATTTACACAAGGTTAATAACATTAACAAACAGAAGATTTTTAGAAGAAATTCTTCTTAACCGGCAATGGCGTTACTGTGTTAGCACAAATAAACTATGTCATTGCCATGCGTCCTTCCTGCAATACAAACTCGTTGTACTGCTACAGTTAAACGTTGTACTGCTACAGTTAAACGTTGTACTGCTACAGTTAAACGTTGTACTGCTACAGTTAAACGTTGTACTGCTACAGTTAAACGTTGTACTGCTACAGTTAAACGTTGTACTGCTACAGTTAAACGTTGTACTGCTACAATTTAACTTTGTTCTGTGTGACCTACTTAGGTCTTCTTTTTTAAATTGTTTGATTTTATGATTATTTGATTGGCCTTGAGTGGTCTGTTGTTCAAACTAAAGAAATTTTCCATCACGCTCATGTGATAGTAATCACCACTGATTTCGTGTGACTCGTGCTTTGGCTGCTTCCCCCCAATAGTCCATGACATTGAGGTCGACATCCCATAATTTTGGAGTCGTATATAAGGCAGAAATTTTCCTCGCACGGGAGCCCACTAGATATCTACGGTGAGAGAGAGAGAGAGAGAGCCACGTACGACGCCATGTTGTATTTTCTAGTTAAGCAGTAATTATCTCTAAGTATCAGTGTATTCAGTATTTTTCTGTGTCTCATTTTAATAACTTGTAGGTTGTGTTGATTACTTAGGTACCTTATCCAGTGTTAGTAGTTTCAGTGTGTTATTCTTTAACTTGTAATTTGGGTCTTTCATTATTTGTATATTTCTCTTGATTTTACATAGCTATTTATTATTTAGACTTGTATACATATTAGAAGGTTGTAGCTTGATTTAAAGTATTATTAGTTGTCTTCGTGCGTTTTTACCCTTGACATTATATTTGAGTCCACGGAGAGTTTTTGTTGTCTGGTAATCTTTTGGTTTCGTAAGTCAGCAGTCTGTGACCATCCAAAACGAACTTGGGTATTGCGTTATCTTTACCAACCGATAGAGGTACGTAATAACTGCTAGTACAAAGTACTTGGTACTGCTGGCACAGTTCCTTAAAACCTGCTGCATTATGCAACATCTAAAAAAAAAATTTACGTAGGGACAATTGTTTGTCATAAAACTGGAGCTTTTTTCATTTTATAAAGAAAACAGGTATTTAATGTTATTTTCCAATTAAAACAAAGTCTATTAAATCCTAACTGTCCTGATACTAACAATATACAAAAGCCGCAAAATGGTATTTTAGATAAGTTGATAGCAATAAACAATGTTCAGCATAATTTAATTATATACCAATGTCAACATAGAAAATGACACAAAGATAGGTCTACCTTCTTGATTGTCTATATCAGGGTAACGGACAGACGGATAAAGTCTTAGATGTGCTGTAACTGGTGGATACATTCCTGGACGTGCATCTATAAATAAGCGAAACGTTTAAAATCATTATTTGAACTTGCCTATCTTTTAGAAAGGTGTTTGGCTTTAAGTTTTGTTTATGATGGGCTACATCCCATGTAGATTTACTAGTAAGGATAAATATCAATTCGATTCTCAAAAGGTTCTAAACAAACTTACTTTAATCATTTACGATGAATTTCAACTAAGACTACGATATTGTGAGCGATGTAAAATTGATATCCATTAAATAGTATAACATTAACATGTCATCAAAATATAATAAGTTTCATTCGAATTCTAAACGTTATGGTCGTTTTCTATAATTACCTTTATCAATAAGAGCATTTGAATTTACATACGCCATTGTTAACACACCATCCTAAAAGGCAATACATGCTGCATTATTATAAACAATATGTTTATACATATACATATTTATAAGCGATGCAATGGTGGCTGGAACCGTGCAAGTGTTCCATAAATAAAATATTTTTGGCGAAATAATTATTAGTCCATAGATACAGTCAGTGGCGTAGCGAGGTCGGGTGTCACCCGGTGCGGCACTTAATGGTGTCAACCCCCCAGAGGCATAGAGACCCTTCCCAGGGACAAACTTTCAAATTTTCGATTTGCACCCCCACCCTCAAACTTTCGATTTGCACCCCCCCCTCAAGTTTTCGATTTGCACCCCCCCCCCCCTCAAACTTTCGATTTGCACCCCCCCCCCCTCGAGTTTTTCTCTATATATTTTCCTATTTTTTGCCTTGGTGTCACCCCCCTAAATGGTGTCACCCGGTGCGGTCCGCACCCCCCGCCCCCCCTCGCTACGCCCTTGGATACAGTAGTGCACTTAAAATGTATGAACATTTATTTAGAAAGCCTCAGACGGTATACCCATATGTTATAAATATGTATTTATACATAGCTGATTGGCACGCCTCTTTGACAGTGTAATATTCCACGCCGTTGACAGTTCGTAGATGCTTGAAACTCGTGATGCTTACGGAACGGGTAAGAAGAAGCCTGAGGTAATAACGTTCAGTGTCGTGAATGGCAACAACAGGCATTCTACCTATCACTTTGCGCCTCCTCTAAATCTCCTCTAAATCTCTTCTGCCATTTTCCAGAAGATTATTGGAATGTGTAATGTTGGGGAACATCCGTGTTTCCGTGAGTAAGAACAACGGACAGGGCGTCGTTATAGTTGTCCCAATGTTCGCAAAGAAAGCTTACAGCCTTCTTGCGAAGTTCGAGAGCAACAGTTTCGTCGATGACATTTTTCCAGAAATATGCCACTAATAGAGATAAACAGTTATCTGATAAAGGAATTTCGACTACATTGACAGACCTGTTGACTCCAAGAAATATATGTGAAGCGGTGGCCATTGTTAGGAAACAAAGGGGCAAAATCAAAACAAAGTTTCAGGGACAAATGTGGCACAGACGACTGTAGGAGATACCAAAGCATGAGGACACAGGAGATACTGAGGTACACACTGCTGCGGGTACACACTGTTTTGCATGACACCCCCCCCCTTCATTAATGAAATCAGCCTTCTGTGACGAAAGTTAACAGAAGACAAGGAGAAGATTAAGCAGAACCTGTTTTACCTCCCATTCGTTTCAAATCGTTTAAAAACTAAATTATCTGCCTATAATAGCCGTCACTAATTCGACCCGGAGTTACGATTGTAAACAGCTCACTAGAGTGGTGTGGGTGGTGGTGGTAGCGATATGGTCTGTTTAGCATACCTGTAGAGCGAGGGAAGGGGAGGGCTGGCGTGCTTCTACGTGGTGTGTCGCATGGTCCCCCATGAAGAGAATTATATATAGAGATAGATAGATGCTAGTCTTGCATTCACACGCTTAGTATTGACAGTCGTTTATTATAACTATAAAATATAAATATGTATTCAATAACCTCTTTAAACGGTCGACATATTTGGGAAGAATTAACAAAGTTTTTTTCGGAGACAATATATCGTCTAGAACTAGTTAAAGTTATAATTATTTACAAAACATATAGAGTTAAAGAATACACATACGCGTTAAATCGTCGATGTTTAGGTAAGTAAAGTATTTCAAGGTACACACCATATACTTTTAGTTTAAAATCATCGTTAGAACCCAAACCATCCTTGAACTTCACTAGGTTTTATACCTTAAACTATACCCATATATTGTTTACACTGGGGCGAAATGTAAGATCACGTGAATTGAACAGGTGCAAATATTCAGCTCTTCGAAAAAAAACTTTTAAATATTGTAATTTATCTTCAAACTACCCTCAGTTAGAAAAGTCTAAAATATTTGAACTAAAAAATCCATTTTAATTAAAGGTCTACATACATATAATTGAATAAGTAAATTGGAAGTAAGTTTGGAGAGGTCTACTATGCTTTTGTGGGGATCCACATCTGCAGCGAGGGAAGGGGGTGTAGACTGGTGCAGAAGTGTGGGGGAGGGGGGAGTCTAAAATTGTTCTGGGTGTCATTAATGGATAACCCTTCTGTATTATTGATACGCGGCTAAATATGTATTGAGTACAAAAAGAAAAAGATGATCGTTATTGATAAATGTTATCTATAAAGTGTTACGATAAGGAAATATATTTTTTACATTCAAGTTTGTGATCCAATTTAATTCTGTGACTGATTGAGCGAAGAGAAAAATTCCAATCGAAACAGTAGATGCAATTATTGCAAAAAGCAATGATATTCTGAAACAAAATACACACGTTCAATTTATTAATACTCATTAAAATAATTTTAAAATTATTTTTGAAGGTTTGCAAAAAGGAAAATAAGATTAATTTATATTTATATATATATATATATATATATATATATATATATATATATATATATATATATATATATATATATATATATATATTTATATATATATATGTATATAAATAAATTAATAAATTAATAAATAAATAAATATATATATATATATATATATATATATATATATATATATATATATATATATATATATATATACATATATATATATATATATATATATTTATATATATATATATGTATGTATATATATATGTTACGGGCCAGTTGTAGGTTAGATTAGAATAGTTTAGAATAGTCTAGAACTAGGGGAGAGTGCCTGTGTGAGTGGAGTTCACCCTACTGTGTAGTTACCCTTGTGTGTTTATGTCTTGTAATCCCAAGGTCGAATGCGGGTATAAAAGGGCGAGTGAACGATTGTGGGGGGCAGTCAGCGGGTTAGTAGCGGTTAGGACGAGGGCTGTTCTGGTACGCTTGAATGCATTGAGACGAATAAAAGTAGTGAAGTTAAACACGAAGCGTTGTTATTGATTTGAAATGAACCCAGAACGTAACAACTGGTGGCCAGTATAAATCAAGTAGAAGCACAAACTTGATGCTGTCCTGTCGTTTGCCTGATGCTGTCCTGATGTTTGCCTGATGCTGTCCTGATGTTTGCCGGTTGCTGTCCTGATGTTTGCCGGTTGCTGTCCTGATGCTTGCCGGTTGCTGTCCTGATGTTTGCCGGTTGCTGTCCTGATGTTTGCCGGTTGCTGTCCTGACGTTTGCCGGTTGCTGTCCTGATGCTTGCCGGTTGCTGTCCTGATGTTTGCCGGTTGCTGTCCTGATGTTTGCCGGTTGCTGTCCTGATGTTTGCCGGTTGCTGTCCTGATGTTTGCCGGTTGCTGTCCTGATGTTTGCCGGTTGCTGTCCTGATGTTTGCCGGTTTCTGTCCTGATGTTTGCCGGTTGCTGTCCTGATGTTTGCCGGTTACTGTCCTGATGTTTGCCGGTTGCTGTCCTGATGTTAGCCGGTTGCTGTCATGATGTTTGCCGGTTGCTGTCCTGATGTTTGCCGGTTGCTGTCCTGATGTTTGCCGGTTACTGTCCTGATGTTTGCCGGTTGCTGTCCTGATGTTTGCCGGTTGCTGTCCTGATGTTTGCCGGTTGCTGTCCTGATGTTTGCCGGTTGCTGTCCTGATGTTTGACGGTTGCTGTCCTGATGTGTGCCGGTTGCTGTCCTGATGTGTGCCGGTTGCTGTCCTGACGTTTGTTGGATGCTGTGGGGATGCCGTTAGCCCGACGCTATAGCTGTTTGACAGAGTATGTAACAACATTGACTGCGAGTTGCAAAATTTTGTGATGTAGAATGGTTGAGATATAGGTAGGAGTCGTAAACCAGTGTAGCCATAGAGCGCAGGTTGACTCAAATTTTTTGTGATGTAGAATGGTTGAGATATAGGTAGGAGTCGTAAACCAGTGTAGCCATAGAGCGCAGGTAGACTCAAATTTTTAGTGATGTAGAATGGTTGAGATATGAGTAGGAGTCGTAAACCAGTGTAGCCATAGAGCGCAGGTTGACTCAAATTTTTTGTGATGTAGAATGGTTGAGATATAGGTAGGAGTCGTAAACCAGTGTAGCCATAGAGCGCACAGGGTAGACTCAAATTTTTAGTGATGCAGAATGGTTGAGATATGAGTAGGAGTCATAAACCAGTGTAGCCATAGAGCGCAGGTTGACTCAAATTTTTTGTGATGTGGAATGGTGGAGATATGGGTAGGAGTCATAAACCAGTGTAGCCATAGAGCGCAGGTTGACTCAAATTTTTTGTGATGCAGAATGGTGGAGATATGGGTAGGAGTCATAAACCAGTGTAGCCATAGAGCGCAGGTTGACTCAAATTTTTTGTGATGCAGAATGGTTGAGATATGGGTAGGAGTCATAAACCAGTGTAGCCAGAGAGCGCACAGGGTAGACTCAAAAAAAATTTTTTTGGTCTGGAAAGTTCTTAGATTCGGTGCGATGCAACTGGGTGTGTATGATTTTTTTTTTGTTTGTTAGTTACACGAATGATTTGTGCTAGCTCGAAATTGTAGCAGTTCTGTATATTGTCATTATGTATTTCATTGTATATACAATCTGTCATATACATTCTTCGGAATGTATATTTTTAACTTGTCTACTAGTGTATGTGTATGAAAGGCTTTGTGTTTTTTATTTAGCTAGGATTTGTTAGTCAGTATTTGTAGTTATTACTACAAATACTTAGGTGGGGGGTAGTGTTACGGGCCAGTTGTAGGTTAGATTAGAATAGTTTAGAATAGTCTAGAACTAGGGGAGAGTGCCTGTGTGAGTGGAGTTCACCTTACTGTGTAGTTACCCTTGTGTGTTTATGTCTTGTAATCCCAAGGTCGAATGCGGGTATAAAAGGGCGAGTGAACGATTGTGGGGGGCAGTCAGCGGGTTAGTAGCGGTTAGGACGAGGGCTGTTCTGGTACGCTTGAATGCATTGAGACGAATAAAAGTAGTGAAGTTAAACACGAAGCGTTGTTATTGATTTGAAATGAACCCAGAACGTAACAATATATATATATATATATATATATATATATATATATATATATATATATATATATATATATATATATATATACCGTGTAAGTAACTGCGCGTTGCCGCGGGTTAAGAAAAAATATTTTAAGAGGGTTTCATCAATGAAGTTTCATTCCAATACTCATAGACTTGTGAGCTTATTTTCTAAACTTTATGTAAAACAGAACCTGTACCCATACCCATAACCAGACCCAGACCCATACATACGGTTTAGACGGATTAGACGGATTAGACAGATAGATACTAGCGTGTCCGTCCTCGCGCGTTGCCGCGGGGATAAAATAATTTTTTACGAAATATTTTGAAGGTTTCATCATGCCTCACCAATTCTATATTTTTAGAGGAGTGATCTTGTTTTCTGAAACTGAGTTATTTAAATATAAATAATTCCCGTGCTATATTTCTTTGATCATTTTGTCGGGACACGGGCTTACCTACACTACCCCAGTGCGTTGTGTATAAAAGCCTTTAGTGTACGTTAATAACTATGTAAAAGTGAGGTAGAACACACTTAAGCGACAGCCCATGTGTCAGGGGCGTAGAAAGACGCTCTCGGGAGCCTCCAGTTGCACTACCACAGGGGCACCAGGCTTGGTTTAATTATCGAATGTCATATGCCGCCTTGTCAATAGTGTAGGGTACTCCTACAAACTAACTAGGCGCCATTGTGCTCACAGGATAGACCAGGGGGACAAGCATTGTATCGACAAAAATCGCACCCTCCCTGGCGCCGCCCATAAGTAATTGTAATGTTTTTTCGCCGAAACCTCTTCGGGAGTATTCTCATAATATACTCCGCAACGTTTTACGGCGATCGGATGAACAGTGTCAAACTGCAATCGACTTTTATTTTTTATATACAGTATATAGAGAAAAATCGAATCGCGCCGTGACGGGGCGTTATCTTAGCGAATTCGGAATTTTTTTTTTCGCCGATATTTTTCCACGAGTATTTTCAACAACTTCCCAAAGTTTCAGGGCGATACGATGAAAGGTGTAGTAATGCATAAAAAACAAATAAAGAAATATTTGTCGAATTTGTCGAAGACCCGATGGCCTCCATGATGAGGAGGTGAGATAATTATTTGTAACAATTTCTTCATGAGGATATGTTGTAATGATCACCCACTGAGGTGAAGTGTGTTTAAGGCCTGACCTTTAGATATAACAAAACCAACGATGCTGCTTGCTTCTGTATCCTTATTTATTGCATACACAACATTGCACAGAAAAGTACAATTGCAAGTAACTAAATAGATAGGTAGATCACGTACAAGCAGGCCCTGCTTATAGTTCTTCATTAGGTCTATATACTACCCGTTATTTAAATCCCATGTCAGTAACTGTCCTGGTCACTCGTAGGTTGCTGTTTGAATGAAAGTATACACAGTCGCAGCTACCGAGAATCCCAGAGGTCACATGTCATGCGAACGCGAGGAAATATCGCTCACCGAAGACCATAAAATGAACATCAACAGTCGCGGTCCCACAGCGCCGCTACCAAATTAGTTGGAAATTATCTCCCCTGAGGGGTAACCCATGGTATGTGTTACACATAAACAAAATCTAAGGCAGTCTTTGGAATTTCAAATGACATTGCCGTGTTGGATGATACCTTTCTGAGCAAAACAATAAGGTCAAATGTGTATGTATGTATAATGATTTGCATGACTATATGACCGGGTGTGTGAGTTTGTGAATGAATGTTTGTGAGAGTATGAATGTGGGTATTAGTGTGTGTAAGTATTTGTGCGAGTGAGAGTATACACACACACACACACACACACACATATATATATATAAATATATATATATATATATATATATATATATATATATATATATATATATATATATATATATATATATATGCATATATATATATATATATATATATATAAGACGCCTTGAAGTAATATTTCTTACTTTGACGTGCGCATGTGTTTCAGTATTTCTTCCGTATCACCATTATCTTGAAATATATATATATATATATATATATATATATATATATATATATATATATATATGTATATATATATATATATATATATATATATATATATATATATATATATATATATATATATATATATATATATATATATATAATAACGTTAAATATATACAATGAAATAAATCACTCATTAAAAAAATAATACCATAATACCAATGAATATTGTTAAAATTATCCAAGCACATTAAAATCATATTGTAGAATGGTATGAATATTTAAAATAGAGCTTAAAACTTTTATGCTCTTCATAATGGAAATATTTTTAAAAGAAACAATACTATTAAAATCTTACCGTTATTATTTATTAAACTGTTTGTACTCTCAATCTTGAAACATGAAACAGTTTCAAAATCAAGCCATAAAATGGATGCGTTTATGCAGCTTTGACAGTCATGATGATATTTATACAGTTGTATCGGTGTCCATTCTTCTACAGAGACCTGTTTAGGACAGCCATGAGGATGTGACACTATAACGGTCAACTTGTCCACATCATCAAATCTCTTGTATTTGTCCTCTACTTTCTCACATAGATCATCAAAGTGCCGACACATCTTGTCCAGTTCATCAAGCAACTCTAAGTCACATGACACACATGTAAACCTACACACGTCTCCCTCAATATCTGCCTCCCCCACCCCCAAGATATCAAGACTGACCCCATAACGTTTAATGTCATCAAAACCTACAACACACTTGGTCTGTCTCGCCTCACTGTCATCAAACACCACGTGTGTGGCTGTCACCACACAAACCTCACCCCACACTTTGCTGGGTGTGTCCGAGTGTTGACACTTGTCACATGGACAAGTGACCTTGTTGTCACTCTCTGTGTACTTGACCACATGCCACACCCTCCCCGTCCCTGTCCTCAACACGTCACTTCCTCTGGTGTTATAAAATGGGTACTGACCACTGAAGCATGGAACAGACTTTGGTCTCTTTAGACTGGTGTACTTGACCTTTATCAGGACCGTTAGTGCAGACAAAATTTTGATTAGCTCCAACATGATGACGTCACGGTAACGTGAGGGGAGATGATCCAAGTTGAAATCATTAACAGGTATAAAGTTGACATGACCTGGATTCTTATGACATTCCGCACAGTGCTTGTGTAAGTCAGCTTCACCTCCATAGCAGATCTCGGTTTCATGATGTCCTGGGGATGTACAAGGGGAGGGAACTTAGAGGTTACATGGTAAAATTTGTAAAAGACAAGGGAGATAACAAAATTTGAATACAACCTAAAACTGTAAATTTTAAGCTGAATAACAATTTAAAATGTCAGAAACAGTTAGAAGGAAATAAAGTTTACATTTGTTTGTGATAAAACCATTGGACCAAGTGTTTACAATAATGTATGAGCTGCAATAGATGCCTGGATGAAATGTTCTACAGACTGAACCAGTTTACCAACTGGAATAGAATTCTTTAACTTAATGTTAGCAGCCTTATGCTCAACCAATTTGTAAAAATGTCAATTCCTACATTGTATGTACATGTTTCACAAAATAAAATACTCACCTGCTTGAAAACCTCCTTCAGATTTTGTTTCTTCCAAACTTTGTGTTTTGTCCTGGCTATATGTTCTTCCTGAATAAATTTATTATAACATTTTGAGATACAGATACTATAGAAATTTTTTATATTGTATCCCAGTATAAACATACAGTAACAGACATTTAAATTATGTTTGAATTATTACCAGAAAATACATAATGCCTACCCTATAATTTCCTCACAAATATACCATACACTTATAGAAAATATATTCACCTGTCAACTGAAGATTTCTTTTCTTTTCACCTGTATCTCCCATCTCTGACAAATTTATCTGCAAGAAACAAAACAAAATGTACTAAACACTATTAATAAATATGTGCTGACACAGACTGTGTGTAATCATCTCTGTTGTGCTCAAATTATCTTTAACTTACTATCATTATATTAGGTGTAAACCTGTTTTTATTGACCACAGTACTAGTAAATTCACTAACTAAAGCTACAGAGAAATTGATAGCTCTACCTGTTGGTGTGCTGTGTTTGATTTTGTCCTCTGCTTGACAAAATGGAAACAGTCTCAACTCCAGTCACTCAAACTTATGTGGGTTGTCCAATCACGTAAAATATTTGTGGATACTTTTCTGCTTTTTAACCTGTAGGGAAATACAATTAATTTAGTAATTATAAAATATTTTTTCCCCGTAGACATTATTTAGGTTGTAAATCAAACTAAATTTTACTTCTTATAAGATGTAGAACAATATAATGTGTAACCTTATATTTAACTTAATTTTGTTAATTTACATGTTATATGTTGAACAAAAAGTGTTAGCATTATGTTAAACTGAGCTAATAGCTTGGGTTATCAAAAAAAAAAGTTTATTATAAGTTTTATGATAATCCTTTTATTGATATATGCTAAATGATATATATATGAACATTTCACATAAAATATGAATATGTGTTGGCGTAACTCGTAACTTACAACTAGTTAACTGATGGATAGATTTGTTTATATGGTATTCTAAAGTGGTCAGTTAAGTAGTTTACCGCTAAACAGGACTAACATTAACATTAAATTATATAGTTTATCTACATTGTTATAAGAATGTTTTCTCAAAAGAACTTGCTGAAATCAATGTTTAATTACATGTGTTTGGTAACATGGTTTTAAAATTATTGCTTTCTTTGATCCTTATTAAAGCTAAATTGTTTTACATAGTTTATTTTAAAAACTAGCTGTCTGTACCAATTTCACATGAATTATAGGCCTATATCATATATGTGAGCGGCTGGAGTGTGTTTATCTGTTATTATAATTATTTGTAACTAAGAAGGCGAATGTCGCTTTTTATGTTCCTTTGAGGATTGTTGTGGTTTTTAGTTAAGTAGTCCGCTATTATGGCGCTGATATGATTTTTATTTTAAAATGATTTATAGCCTGGTTATTGTGTCTTGCTTATATTTTGATGTTATTATTTATGCAAACTTTGTTTTGGAGTGTGGCTCCACTTTGCTTTATATCCTGAATGTAAGTTACTGATTATTGTATTAGGGACTATTTTCTTGTGCGTAGCATTGGTTTCTTTGTTCGTAGTATTGGTTTCTTTGTTCGTGAATGTGGTGTGTCGACATGGAGGGACATTCTGCTGGAATGTCGAGGCCTGTGTGTTGAAGAGTTTCTGTGTCACGTTTATGTGGTGTATGGTAACGTAGGGTTATTTTTATAGTGTTTTATTATGTTTTCCATATTTTGTTGAATAAATTTTATATTAAATTGTTAAGTTTTTTTGTTTTTTTAATTTAGACTAAGGTTAGGTTATTAACCAGTCTGGGTTACCGGACTTGCACTGACCGGACTGTAGTTAGTTAGATAAGCCTAGAAGGGTAGATATTAGGTATCCCCCCCTAGCAGGGCTTACAAATTGGTAGCACGAGTGGGGTCAGTGCTTTAGTCTAGTTAAATTTTTTGTGTTTTGTTAGGACTAGGTTAGTTTAGATAAATTTTTTTTCTTGATAGGCCCTTTATGGAACCATTTGTGTTTAGTTTTTGTTTAGTGTAGTAACCGTTTGTTGTTTAAAACACCCAATTCGGACGAGATGGCGGAGGTGGCACCAACCATCATCATCGTTCCACCCAGGGAGATCCTCATCAGGAAGTTTCATGGGGACAGCCATGGCTATGAGGTGGACCGGTTCATCAAAGAGGTCCAGTCCCTCTGGAGGGCCAGGGGAAACCTCTCCGTAGAAGAGAGGAAGGACCTCCTCTGGCAGTACCTGGGGGAAGCGGTGAGAGAGGAGCTGAGCTGCAGGGGTGATGACCTGCAGCATGACCCAGAAGCCACCCTCAGGCTCCTCAGAGAGGTGTACGGCGAGAAGAGGAGAGTACCGCAGCTCATGGCCCAGTTCCAGATGGTTGTACAGGGCCAACACGAGTCGGTGAGGGCCTACTCGCACCGACTGCACAGGGCCTTCAAGACCCTGGTTACGAGGCAGAGTGCCCTGCAGGTCCCACAGACTGATGCAGGGTTTCTTCGAGACCAGTTTGTGGAAAACCTGAGCCAGGCCACAGTCAGACGCCATCTGCACGAGCTGATTTTCCGGGACCCTAAGATCCCCTTCCTGGCCATACGGGATGCGGCCATTCGATGGTCTGGAGACGAGGACCCTCTTGCTGAACCTGCCTACGTGGCAGCAATAAATGCCAGGCCCATTGAAAAATGTTCGTTCAGGTCCAAGCTGGAGGACAAAGTCAACAGGCTCACCGAGCAGCTTGCTGCTCTGCTGAAGCACTTTACGCGGGACACCAAATTGTCCAATGTGCGCCAAGCACCTCGCAAGCGCACGGAGGTCCAATCAAAGGGCTGCTATAACTGTCACCAGAGGGGTCACCTCGCCCGTCATTGCCATATGGCAAAGAAATATGTGCCCAAAAGGAATCAAGTGACACCGAAGGTATGGCGAGGGGACAAGGTCCTCCGCCCCCGCGAAAGGACTCTGGTGCCTGCCAAGGGTGTACCAACCATTCAGGCGACGGAAGGAGACCCCAGAATGAAGGACAAGGTGGTACAGCCATTAGACCAACCTTTTCACCCAGATCCGTCAGTGGTATCAGGCCCAACATCCTGCCTACGCGCCAGCATAACCAGTGTAAAGGTGGACCAATCTGAGGAACTAGAGGCAATGGTTCCACCTAACCCATCCTTAATTAAGGCACCGGGTGGTGGTGCTGGGGCATGCCCCCAGACAGAGTCAAGCAAGAAGGACAAGCAGGTCAAAAAGGCACCTGTAGCTGAACTGGCCATAGGCGACCTGGTCCTTCTGAGACAACCCCCACTTGGCAGACGCAAAATAGCAGACCTGGACGGCCCGACAGTTTATGTCGTGGTCGAATTACCTCCGATCACCGGCGGGTGTTACGCCATTAAAAAGAAAGATAGCCCTTCTGGCACCCGCCGGGTGGCCAGCACACAGATTAGGAGATATGTGCCTCCCAAGGCTCAACCGCCCTCCCCAAGGCCGGTCAAAGTTGTACCGCCGGCTGCTACAGCCACATCGTCTGATTTTGTTGCAGAATTTTGTTTTTTGTAAAATTTATGATTGTGCCCCGTGGGCTGATTTTTTTGCAAAGTTTTGTTTTTTGTAAAATTTATGATTGTGCCCTGTGGGCTGATTTTTTTGCAAGTTCTTTTGCAAAATTGTGATTGTGCAAAGTTTTTGTATTTTTGTAACATTTATGATTATACCCTGTGGGCTGATTTTTTTCAAGTTATTTAGCTTGCGGTGACCGCAAGCTTTAAGGGGCGTGTATGTGAGCGGCTGGAGTGTGTTTATCTGTTATTATAATTATTTGTAACTAAGAAGGCGAATGTCGCTTTTTATGTTCCTTTGAGGATTGTTGTGGTTTTTAGTTAAGTAGTCCGCTATTATGGCGCTGATATGATTTTTATTTTAAAATGATTTATAGCCTGGTTACTGTGTCTTGCTTATATTTTGATGTTATTATTTATGCAAACTTTGTTTTGGAGTGTGGCTCCACTTTGCTTTATATCCTGAATGTAAGTTACTGATTATTGTATTAGGGACTATTTTCTTGTGCGTAGCATTGGTTTCTTTGTTCGTAGTATTGGTTTCTTTGTTCGTGAATGTGGTGTGTCGACATGGAGGGACATTCTGCTGGAATGTCGAGGCCTGTGTGTTGAAGAGTTTCTGTGTCACGTTTATGTGGTGTATGGTAACGTAGGGTTATTTTTATAGTGTTTTATTATGTTTTCCATATTTTGTTGAATAAATTTTATATTAAATTGTTAAGTTTTTTTGTTTTTTTAATTTAGACTAAGGTTAGGTTATTAACCAGTCTGGGTTACCGGACTTGCACTGACCGAACTGTAGTTAGTTAGATAAGCCTAGAAGGGTAGATATTAGGTATCCCCCCCTAGCAGGGCTTACAAATTGGTAGCACGAGTGGGGTCAGTGCTTTAGTCTAGTTAAATTTTTTGTGTTTTGTTAGGACTAGGTTAGTTTAGATAAATTTTTTTTCTTGATAGGCCCTTTATGGAACCATTTGTGTTTAGTTTTTGTTTAGTGTAGTAACCGTTTGTTGTTTAAAACACCCAATTCGGACGAGATGGCGGAGGTGGCACCAACCATCATCATCGTTCCACCCAGGGAGATCCTCATCAGGAAGTTTCATGGGGACAGCCATGGCTATGAGGTGGACCGGTTCATCAAAGAGGTCCAGTCCCTCTGGAGGGCCAGGGGAAACCTCTCCGTAGAAGAGAGGAAGGACCTCCTCTGGCAGTACCTGGGGGAAGCGGTGAGAGAGGAGCTGAGCTGCAGGGGTGATGACCTGCAGCATGACCCAGAAGCCACCCTCAGGCTCCTCAGAGAGGTGTACGGCGAGAAGAGGAGAGTACCGCAGCTCATGGCCCAGTTCCAGATGGTTGTACAGGGCCAACACGAGTCGGTGAGGGCCTACTCGCACCGACTGCACAGGGCCTTCAAGACCCTGGTTACGAGGCAGAGTGCCCTGCAGGTCCCACAGACTGATGCAGGGTTTCTTCGAGACCAGTTTGTGGAAAACCTGAGCCAGGCCACAGTCAGACGCCATCTGCACGAGCTGATTTTCCGGGACCCTAAGATCCCCTTCCTGGCCATACGGGATGCGGCCATTCGATGGTCTGGAGACGAGGACCCTCTTGCTGAACCTGCCTACGTGGCAGCAATAAATGCCAGGCCCATTGAAAAATGTTCGTTCAGGTCCAAGCTGGAGGACAAAGTCAACAGGCTCACCGAGCAGCTTGCTGCTCTGCTGAAGCACTTTACGCGGGACACCAAATTGTCCAATGTGCGCCAAGCACCTCGCAAGCGCACGGAGGTCCAATCAAAGGGCTGCTATAACTGTCACCAGAGGGGTCACCTCGCCCGTCATTGCCATATGGCAAAGAAATATGTGCCCAAAAGGAATCAAGTGACACCGAAGGTATGGCGAGGGGACAAGGTCCTCCGCCCCCGCGAAAGGACTCTGGTGCCTGCCAAGGGTGTACCAACCATTCAGGCGACGGAAGGAGACCCCAGAATGAAGGACAAGGTGGTACAGCCATTAGACCAACCTTTTCACCCAGATCCGTCAGTGGTATCAGGCCCAACATCCTGCC